CCGAATACAGAAACCCAGCAAGAAGTCCAAAAGAACATAAACAATTGAAACTGATTAAATTAATTTGATAACAAGTCCGGACCAACTGACAGACCGAGCATTGAAGCACTTTAGATATGACTGAGGAAACTCAATTTTTCTCTGAGGGGGTGAAAATAGAGCTGATATGTGGAGCACTTTAGGGAATTCTTGGCTAAATTGGAATGTGAAATATGATTTTAATTTAAATAAATTTAGTTTAATTGAAAGCCGGATAAATGGACTGGCCCAAAGCAATTACAGATAGTTTAATTTAGTGTGGTTTTTGTTGGCCTTTTTTTGGTGGGAGTTGATTGCTATAAATTATAGAGATTGACATGGAAGTAGGCACTTGGTTTATTTTAAATTATTATTCGTTTTAAAGGGATAACTATATCAAATTTAATATTTTAGTGATTTAACGGTTTTATATTAATAAATATAAAAAATAATAGTAACCCGATTTAATAAAAATAAAGGCCAATTATTGGAGCCCCCAATTAAACATAAATAGTTTTCACAGAGTTAAGAAACTTTTCTAAGCTCTGGACATTTATATTTCCAGCCTTATGTAAGTTTAATTTCCGCTCAAATATTAATTATTTAAGAAACTTTCACAACTTTTCAGCTGGGCAAACTATGCAGGTGTGAAAGCGTGATGAATAACAAGTTGTATTTGATAACTTGTTATTGTTGTCAACCACAATAGCTCCTGAACAATAATTAAACAAACATCAACATCCGCAAATCATTTAGTTATTTAATTAAGCTCAAGTGATACGTAGGCGTGGTAACCGAACCATAACCGATTTTTTGTTAATGTTGCATAACACTATTTATGGAACACACGGGGTTGAAGTGAAAGCCAATAAAGCGACAATGACTTGCCAATGGTACGAGGGGATGAGATCAAAATGCATTCAGAAAAATAATACAGTATAATAAATTAGGTATTGTAAACTGGCTAATATATTCAATATATAAATTATAAGGAAATATATATTTTTTTTATCATTAAAAAATATCATAACTATTTCTTTTAAAAACATGTTGAAGGAAATAAATTTAAAAAAAATTCGATTATATTAAATCGATTTTAAATATATATATTTTTTCTCTATATACCCAAATTTTAAGTTGGAATCTCTCAGCGTAATTCTAGTGACACGTGAGTAGCATTCCCAGCTGGATTTTGAGTGGCAACAGATATTTTTGGCCAGCTAGCGAATAGTTGCACATGCTGTTACCACAGAAGTTGCTGTTGCTTTTGCTATGCTGCACCAATGGATGTTGCTGTTGCTGTTGCTGCTGCTGAAATGCATGTTGCTATTGCCTCTGCGTCATCGTCCTTGTCACTGCAACAGCATCGACTTTGCAGCCATCCATCCATGTTGTTCATTTGCCAATTACGCGTTTAACTCTGCATGAAGCCAGACATAACAACCTGGCAACTGGATGGATCGCTACACGCTGAGAATGTATCTCAAAAATTCGCCAGATTTGCAAACATTGGTGAATAACAAAAATATGTAGCTAGCACATTAAAGAGAACATTGTGTAGTAGAAAGATCTCAAATCTGGCAGTCTTGTTCATAGATTATATTTTAGTTCTCTTTTTTTAAACAATTGTAATTTTTCTACGTGTAGACAGGAGACAGGTGGCATGGGGTAACCGCTTGTTTATGTTGTCGTGGCAAGTTGGCAACACATGCCGCACGCTCGGGCAAATCTAATGCCTTCGATTCCAACTGCAGCCAGCATTAATTATTACGAGGGTGAAATATTTTTGGCCACGCACACAAGAGATTTCGCTTAAGTTCTGAGCCCCGGGATGCTGATGATTCTGATGATGCTGATGGTGCTGCTGCTGCGCCCTAATTGAGTTCACATTACTTGCCGAAAATATGTTTTGTAATACGGCCAAATGTTCTTGCTTTTATTAGCCAAACGTGAGTTGGCAACAATTTCCATTGTGCGCCGGAAAATCATGTTCACTTGGAGATGATGAATCTTTGGCCCGCGCCAGTTGAAAGTGTCAAACCATTTAGAGAGATGGGGTTGAGATTAGCAAGTGTTGATGGACAGACCCGAAACGTGACTGGCAAAGTCCATGGGTAACGTGGATCTAAGGATCTGCTCAGACAGCTGGCAGGAATTCAAAGTTGGGCAAAGTTGCGATATAGCCTCGCCTCATTGGGTTGAGTGTGAAGGAAAATCTTTTGGGGATGTCATTTGTAAAATTTGCAGGCGATGAGAATATGATTTTAATTGGTTTTTGTTTCTTTATATCCCATATGCTACAATCTCAAATAAATTCTAGTTACGTGATACTTATTTATGATGTACTAAACATTGAAGACATTAAATGGTAACAGCAAATGTTCGTTAACTACAGGTGTGTGTGTCTTAAGCTCTTAAATAGTAATAAAAAGTTATAAATAAATACTAAAATCTTAATGTTTTTGAGATAAGTAAAATAAGTATCTGGATACCTCCTAAAACAAACTCATTTTGTGTATTAGTTTATCACTTTTTGGTACCAAAAGTTATTGCCTTGCAACTCTAACAAACTTTTGCTCCTTTAATTATCTAATGGTGTCCCCAACTTTTGCTAGAAATAATTTTCACCCACACCTAACAGGCAAGTCTTTCAACCAAACTCTTTTGGTCACTCATTGCAACCGCAAAATCCATCAACTGAACCGACTTTTACATATCCGCTCATTTCGCTAACGAGCTGAGCCACAGAACCACCGAACCACCGAACCAAGAAGAACCCCCACTTCCCCGATTTGATCCACACCTGACATGGTTTACATAGAGCACAGCAATTTGGGGCGCACTTCTGGGCGGGAAAAAATGTGGGTGAGGATGGGTGAGGATGGGTTTGGTGGGTTGGTAAAGTGTAGTTAGTATATGGCATGGGATGGGATGTTAACCTAACGAACAGTGAATGCCATGCCACCGCTGCAAGTGCATAAAAAACACTCTTCTTCGGGCGATTCTCCTTCACTTTGCCGCTGCCGGGTTGACAATTTAATTGATGTGCACTCACACAAAGGCTTGTGGAGCGACCGCTAAAAAAATAAAATAAAAAAACCAGTAAAAATAAAAATAAGAGTGACACCTAGCTGGGCGTTGCGAACACATAGTGGCGGAGGATCGAAAAGTAGGTCAGGCATGCAACCCGCTGTCAGCGTTGAATAATTGGAGAGGGTGTATCGTCACCCGAAAAAAAGAAACCCATCCAAACCCGAAATGAATGCAATCGGTGGAGCCACCGCTTAATGGGTTTTAATTCTGATTTCGTTTGACACACGGCTGACACAACTAATAAATTTCCCGGGGGCCATGTCAAGTGGAAGGGTGGCCATCCCACCACCACCACCACCACCACCACCCACTTGCTGTTTCACCTCTGATTGATTGTCCGCTGGCGCTCCTAACTGATGATAAGGTTGGTAGCCAAGAAGCCAGCACCCATAACTCCAATCAAACATGAATTACGACGAGTGGCAAACGATGATAGTCGGCTAGATAAGCGCCTGATTAGCCCTGCACTTTGGAGCAAATATTTACCCAGTTATCCACAAGTGACGCGATGCAATCTGTGGACCTACTCCACAACAACTCCCGTCGACCATCAATCAACCGGCCTGTTTGCACACTCACACTCGCACTCGCACACACGCGAGTGTTGTAAATTTTACAACATAATTTTTGATAATTTTTCCCTATCTCCGACTAACAATCCCAAACCCAAACCTAAACTCAGCCATCTCCTCGTTCTAACCATGTATAAACAAACACTTTGCATGTGTTTTATGATTCCACATGGATTTGTCCCCAATCGGCCACCCTTTTCTCAGGCTACAGGCTACTGATTTATTTTTTATATTCACTGGGTTGTAAATTCTTTGTCTGGGCCTGTGACACATTGTAAAACCATTTTCCTCACTTTTATTAGCTTGGCAATCTTTTCGACAGGATTTTCTGTGTGTGCTTTTTGGGGTCGAAATGGCTTAGGTTGAACAACATACAGTAGGAAAAGATGGATAGAAATAAAATGGGAAGTAGATTAAAGGTCGGAAGGTATCTTAAAGCCGATTAAGCCACTCAATTGGAAACCTGATTATTAAGGTTTAATTGATGAAAATTAAACGTCAGATATTTTGTTATTTTTTTGGGATTAAGATTAAATTTGATTAGGTTAAAAGAAAAATACAGTCTTGTCATTTTCTGTATTATTATTATTAATGCTTTTTATTTATAAAGAATTCATTACTTAATAAATATATTTTATGTAAAGGTTCATACAGATGCATAATGTTTATTAATAAGATTTGAATGAATGATCTGATCATAATTTAAGCTAGTTAATTTTTAATATATAATAATTGTCCCTAGGAAATACTTTAAAAACCATCAAAAAAATCTTAATAATTACAAACAAATTTGTATTCTCTTAGGACTCGTTTATTAAAAGATAAATTAATATTCAAATATTCTAAATTTTTAAATAACAGACATGCAAATCAACTGTCCAATTTAACAAACAAAAATCAACAGAAATGGTACCAATCTTCCAAGAGAAAACAAAACATATAATACCACACATTAAATCAATTTAGCTTTCTTATTTATCAAGATAAGTCTAACAATAAATTTGAATAGAGGAAAACTGCTTAGACAAATACAAATATCCGAAAATACGAATAAACTGGCCAATTTGACAAAAGAAAATACAACTTTGTGGCTCTAAGCCAGAAAGCAATTAAAAGCATAAACTATTTACAGAAAATGAGAAAATAATCCATTCAAATCTCACTTCATTTGCCCAGAGCCAAACGGAAAAGCTTGGCTTGGCATAAATCAAATTGTGACTCAAAATTGAACGCATTGCACACAAAAGTGGCAAATAATTGGTCACTTAATTGAAAAACCATATTGCGATTTAAGTTTTAGATAGACAGACAACTCACCGATTAAACGCAACACCTCGTGCAGATTTAAGAAGATATTTAGATGGGAATGACTGCTGGCGACCAGGGTCAAAAGTAATCCGATTGTCAGGAAATTGCTCCGGCTATTGGCCATCTTGAGATTATAATATTATATTTTACCGACTTAATCGCTTTAAGGTTTAAACAGTTCTCCGGTTTTTTATTTTATTTTTTCTTTTTGGCACTGGCAAAGAATTTAATTTGCAAAGCGCTTGCTGTTCACTTTTCTCGCTGCGTTTGAATTTTTGTTTTGCGTGGCGCGTAGATTTTAATCGCGCTGATTATTACTGGAATTATTTATCAGAGCATTTGGCACTTTGCCTTTTGGCTGGGAAACTCAGGCGCACATATTTCCCAATCGGCTGTCTCTGCACCCGTTTTTCCTCGCTTTTCCTCGATTCCCGTTTGTTGCGAACACCGTGACGATTTTTCACGTCCGAACGGCGAAACCGTGAATTTGAAATTGAACGGAAAAACAACAAACAGATTGCCACGAAGCAAATGCGTTCCAAACGAATCCGGTGGATCGTGGATGGTGGACTAAGTGGACTGAGTGGACTATGTGGACTTCCTGGACCGGATCGAACATGTTGCAGCAAGGGTGGACCATGTGCATGTGCTGCAGAATCCACTCACCAGCTGATTGGATTCCGATGGGTATAACAGTTCGGCTTGGCAACTCCCATTGGTTGCAGTTCGATGGTCGACGTTGGATGTCGCCTGCTGGCGGTTGCATGTCAATGGCAACCTCACCGAACTTAAGCCAACCAAAAAGGATCCAAAAGTCTAATCAGTAAAAATTAGAAAAAAAATATTAGAAAATATGTTTTTTAAAAGTTACTTTTTTAATATTCCTATAGATTAATTATTCAGAGTGGCCGAAAAAGTAGCATTTTAAATGTCTACATATAATAAACCACAAATAAACCGCAATGTTGAAGCTACTCAATAAAAATTAATTTTTGAAATTTTTTTTATTTAAATAGCCATTTTAAAACACCTTTTATTCTTAAGACAGCCTTTACTTTGAAAATTTAGCGCTTTCGTAGGGAACGAGTTTTATAAGGAGTAAAAACAATCGAAACTATATATTTGGTTTTAATATTCAGTGTTTTTAATTTTTTTAACACTTTGCAAGTTATTGCATTATTATTTCACAAAAAACATGAATTTTATATTGTATAAATAGTTGATTTATTATAGCGTTATGCTTACATTGGCTTTACACAAGTATAAAATAAACACAATACAAGTAAATAAATACGGGCACAATGATATTAGGTACACAAAGTTTCAACAAAAGTTGTAAATAAATAGACATGGAATGTGTATAAGTACTTCGTTGTACATATAATAGGAACCAGATAATAATAAATAACAAATAAGCTGCACAATGAAAAATCTAAATCACATCTTTGGAAATTCTGTAAACTCGACTTGACTAAATCAAATAAAGATCAAACTTGATATTTTGCCTTCATAGCAAAGTAAACTACCATTAATACTACTTATTATTAAGTACAAGCACGTTATGCCTCCACTTTCAGCTGATCGATGGAGCTCAAAGTCGTTTCAATCAGCAGATTGTAGTCCAATTCGTTTAGACTGGCTTTGGCCGTCAGCAGGTCAAGGAAGGAGTCCAGCGGCGTAAGGGCTTCGGCAGTTAAATCTGGTTGAGATAAACAAATCAACTCATTAGAGAGGTAAAGGCTTCAATTTGAAATCAAAAAACAACTGGGACAACGACTGGGACAACGACTGGCGAACACTGATCAGCGTTTCTTACCGCTCTGCCAGCGATGTGTGGGATTCGAGGACGAGCTAACAAGTGAGCGGACGCCGCCTGAACACATAGCTCGCTACGCTCAGGACGAGCGTTGTGGAAATAATAAGCAGAAAAACCAAAAGCAGTGAGTGGCAAACCACAGTGTTTGGCTTGCCCAAAGCTGGACAAGATGTGTGTGTGTGTGTGATGGGTGTGTGCAAATGAAAAGTGATCATGATGATTGGGATTTTGATTGTGGTTTAACCAAACTGGTGCTCACCGCTACGCGCATTATTCCGCGACTGGTTGGCACAGGCCGATGGTCGCTGCTGATGCAGGACCTCCTGTTGCTGACCCGATAGAATGTTGGCCGCATGCTCACGGCCCCTGATCATCAGGCTATCCGGATGCTGCCAGCACTTGAGCAATCGCTGGGCCCGCTGCTTCGGTAGGGCCGACAAAAGCGACAGCTTTCGCTCGATGCCCAGCGGAGAGTCCTCGATGTCTGCATGGGCAAAACAAACATATATTTTACAATTACTATTACTAGCATGATCTACCATACTCACCAAAGACAATGGCCTTCATCACATCCACTTGCAGTTCGAAGACATGATTCTCCACATACTGCAGGAACATGTCGTAGCCCAAAGCACGATAGCCCAGATAGGTGAAGAACGAGGAGAAGCCCTCGGGCAGGGGAAAGGCAATCGATTCCACGGCCAGGCAATAACGCTCGAGGATGAGGAACAGCGAGTGCTGCTGGCTGCCAGCCATTTGGTCACTGCAATTGCCGTGTTTTGTAAGTTCAAGATTATTCGATTATAAGATTTCGGACTCTCAAACAAACGCACATCAGTTGAAAGCCCCGCAGCGTCTCCAGACGAGCATCCAGGCCCGCAGCTCGACAGACGAGGGAGCAAAGGGCGCGGGACAGCTCCAGCTGCGAGGAAACAAACTGCGAGGCCACCGCATGGACATGGGCTGGAGCCTGGGAACGCTCGAAGAAGGTCTCCTTCAGCCAGCAAAAACCGGTGTGCGGCTTCGAGGAGTGCTTCACCAAATGGACGCTCAGTTCGCGCAGATACTGCAAGAAAGATTGATTGATGTAAACCCCCTTGTGTTGAAGATATAGCTTAAACTCACCACAGAGATGACATGCTCCTGCTTGCTGGCCGTGCATCCCTCCAATTCGATGAAGGGCAGCACCTCGTTGCTGAACGGAAAGGCACTGCCGCTGCTGTAGTCACCAAAGCCACCAGTGCCCGCATCCCTCGGCGAAAGGGGCGTGGTGCAGCGGGAAAGTGCCTCCGGCTGATAGCAGGCCAAACTGAAGATCAACTTTTCGTTTACCTGCTCGGCACTGAACCGAGGCTGCTCCTGCTTGGCCGACTCGTTCAGCAGATCCCACAGTCTCGTCCAGATGTCCGTGCGATATGGCGAAAGTCGCTGCTGTGGCGACAGCAGCATCATGCTGGTGTTGTGCAGGGTTTCGTGGGACAGGCCCACGCTGATGTCGGCCACTTTGGCGTGAATGGGCCGTGAGGCCAGGGCCGTGGTCAATGGTAGGAGCCTCATCAGTGGCTTGGCCTCCTCCGGCAGGCCGCGAACTGCAGCGGCATAGCTGCCGGCCACTAGGGCCTCCTTCAGCAGGGCCACCGTGTCCAGGGAGAGCGGTCGCTCTAGGATGCTGTTAAGCAGCTCGGCCAGCACATCCATGTCGTTCGAGTGCAGCAGAAAGTAGTGGATAATGCTGATTCGATTGTCCAGCGAACTGTCATTGCGAAAGGCCTCGATTAGATGCGATTTGGGCACAGTGAGCGAAACGAGATCCAAAGTGGCCGCATCGTAGGCCAGCGATCCCCATTTTCGCAATGGCACCAGTTGGGTGCGATCGGGACTTCGATTGTGGGCCGCACACACAATGTGGCAGTTCGGTTCGTGCTGCAGTCCCACGTCCAGCAGGTGGACGAAGAAGGCGGACGACACCAGCAGGTGATGCTGGCCATGCAGCGCAAATGTGGGCCTCAGCAGACGGGCCTTTTGCCACGGCACGCCGGGCATCACGCAGTGCACCACACAGCCGTGGTGCAGCAGTGTCACCGAGTACGCGAAGTGCACGTCCTTCTGCACGTCCGACTGCATCGGCTGGTACAGGTAGTAGTGGCACACGAAGAACATCCCCGAGGTGTCCGCCAGAATGATTAAATTCAGCGAACTGTCGTGCACGCGCAGCGGCACTGCATCATCATCGTAGCTGGGCGTTTCCTCCTGGGAGCCATTCGGCAGCTTCGGCAAGTTTAGCGGTATGTTAAGCTGGAAGCACAGAGCATATTATCAGATAACTTTCAAATAGTCAAGATACTTTAAGCTAAAGATCTACATTTACAAAACGACATTTATATTCGATTAGTTTGCTTAAGAACGGAATAAATCTTTAAATGTCTGAAAGAATCTTTAGAACCTTAAATACTGTTAAGAATATAAAATGGGTTAATTATTTGTAATCATGCCCTCAATTATTATCAATCATGTACTGTTTTCAAGAATATCAAACAAAACAATGTTTTAACATTAACAGCCAAGGAATTATAGCTATTTAAACAAGTTTCGCGCACAGTTGGTTTAAAAATCAAATCAAAAATCAGTAGGTGCCAAGAATTTAAAGGAATTCAAAGCTGTTTCAGCGTAAATTTAAACATCGGTTGGTTTTGAAAGCTATTCACTGAGCTCAAGAAAATTCTTTGGCACCTAAATTTGTTTTCTCTTGAGAATTCAGTTCCCAGAGATTTATGGAAGATGATCTAGATTGCAATCCTAAGCACCCACCACTGTTTCCGTGGGCTGTTTCTCGTTAAACTGAAAGGCCGAGAGTGTGGGACTCAGAACGGGCGTCGCCTGCTCGCCGGCCTCCTCCCGTTCGTCCAGCAGACTGAGGCTCTTGGCCTTGGGCTTCAGGTGGATGTAGTAGAGGGCCTGGCACTCGGGATCCCACTGGGCCCAGCTGAAGTTGCGGGCCAGGGTTTCGTGGGTGAGGATGCTGGTGTCCAGACGCCAGGCGCTGACCTCGCCGCCTCCAATTGGTGATGTTGTCGAGCTCTGCTTCACCACGCAGCTATACTGCTTGATGGCTGGGAAAGGGAAACTCAAGTGTTAGGTATTTAATGATGGGATGGACTACACAGGATACCTACATTCCTCGTGGGTAAGCACCAGGAGCTTGTCCTGCCAGCAGGTGCGCGTGGCACTCTCCACTCGCCACAGGAACTGGGTCATTATCTGGCGGGGAGTGGGCTCTGCGTTTAGGGGCGTGGCCGTGCCGCCCTCGGAGCTGCGCACCTCGACAACAAAGGCCTGGTATAGTTTTCCCTCCGTTTTCTCCACAAAGGACAACAAGGTGACACTGCTATTGATCGTTGCCTGGATAATCTCGCAGCATTTGTCCAGTGTCCAGAGGAGTCGCAGCTGCTTCTTGGTCGCATGGAAGTGGCCAATGCACGTCTCCTTGCGCTGCTCCTCATCCGAATACTCGAATATCCAGGATGTGAGCAGGGATCCATCCTGCTCGATGCCCAAAATGCGCCACTCGTTTGCCTTCTCTACGAAATTGGTGAGATTTTGATTTCGTGATATCTATCGTAAATAGTTATTTAATTGATCTTACCTTTGTATCCTTGGGTGGCCAGCAGGCCGCAGAAGTTGGCCGCCAAATTCTCCTGCCGCAGCATTTCGGTTTTTATTTAATATTCTTAAAATAACATTTAGCACAAGTTTTTAGGTCTCTCAATTGGAATTTTTGCTGCCAGTGTGAACGTTTTGCGGTGTCAGAAAAATAATAGCCACCAAGGAACCGTTACTCTTAGTCACAGGGTGTGTCTGGCAATTTACTTGTTAATTCCGCGCTGTTCAACACTGCACCTTTTTGAATTAAGAATTTTGGAAACAAAAATTTTGACTTCGAGGTGACAAAATTATTGAATCAAAAGTGTGTAAAACGTTAACTAAAATTAAATGAAAGTATTCAAAAGTATATAACTTATATGAAAACTTGACTATAAAAGTGATACTAAACTTGTTGTCTAATTTTTGAATTTATAAATAAACGTAAAAAAAATTTTTAAACTTTTAAAATATATTTGGAATATAAGTGTACTTTTTAGAAAATCACCAAATATGAATCTTGATAACATACTTCTCCAATATCGATATTAATTAAAGTTTTTCCATCCCCAGCATCCATTTATTTAGCAAGAACAGTTAAGTTTGCGTGTATGGTAAAGAGCAATAACTAAAGATAAAGAAAAATGCCAAGTGAAATAATAACCCTTCAATTGGGCCAATGCGGCAATCAAAGTAAGTCACATTAAATCAGGAAAATACCCTGATTTCAGCTAAGCTCAATTTTGGCGCAGTTGGTTTCGAGTTCTGGAAGAGATTGTGTCTGGAGCACGGCATCTCCCCAGATGGCGTCCTGGAAGACTTCGCTACCGACGGTCAGGATCGAAAGGACGTGTTCTTCTATCAGGCGGATGACAATCACTACATTCCACGCGCAGTGCTTATAGATTTGGAGCCGCGAGTCATCAACAACATCATGACCTCGCCGTATGCCAAGGTCAGTTAACAGTTTTTTTTTCTAGTCACATATATATTTTTTTAAACAACCAACTTACTAACTATATAAAGTAACAAAAACTGAAATACACGCATAAGAAAAAAATCATAATACAATTTCAGTTGAAATTTTTCTTAAATTTATAAAATTACTTTTTTCAACTCAAGTTTATATAACACGAATTTCTCTACAATAACCTTACGCCCAAAAAACTAAAAATTTAGTTTTAATAAGAGTGTCTCGAGCCAGTATTCAAGTATAAGTAATAATTCAATACTAAAAAATATATACCCTACTATACTACTATATTATATCTTGAATAGAATTTTGAAATTTAAATTATAAAGATATTTATCGAAAATATTTAAATAAAGAAGTTTATTCAATCTTAAAGAGATGAGGTTGATCATCATTTGATATCATATAACATGTAGTTCCAAACTAATTGGTTTTTCCATTGGCCAGCTGTACAACCAGGAGAACGTGTATCTCTCGAAGCACGGCGGAGGAGCCGGCAACAACTGGGCCTCCGGATTCAGCCAGGGCGAGAAGGTGCAGGAGGAGGTGTTCGATATCCTGGATCGCGAGGCGGATGGCAGCGATTCGCTGGAGGGATTCGTACTGTGTCACTCAATTGCCGGCGGCACTGGTTCCGGCATGGGATCGTATGTGCTGGAGAGACTAGCAGATCGCTTTCCCAAGAAGCTCATCCAGACGTACAGCGTCTTCCCCAACCAGGACGAGATCAGCGACGTGGTCGTGCAGCCCTACAACTCGATTCTCACACTGAAGCGACTGACCAAGTGCGCGGATAGTGTGGTGGTCCTCGATAATACCGCCTTGAATCGCATCGCCACAGAGAGGCTGCACATCCAGACGCCCACCTTCACGCAGATCAACAACCTGGTGTCCACCATCATGAGCTTGAGCACCACCACTCTGCGATATCCCTCGTACATGAACAACAATCTGATCGGATTGGCGGCAGCGCTTATTCCGACGCCGCAGCTGCACTTCCTGATGACTGGCTATACCCCACTGATCACCGATTGTGAGGTGAGTCTTACTACCCTTACTGTATTTGTGTTAAAACTCTGCTCTGCTTTTTTATACAGAGAATATTAAATTTAGAAGATATTTTCAAACATCTACACCCTCACTTCATCCAATTTCTTTTCTAATACTTATTTGTTTTAACACTTACCAGATTTTAAATAATATTTTGCCTCAATTGTTTTGGAAAGCTTTCAGTACATTCCTTCAAAAACTCTGATTTTACTTAACAGTTTTTTTTTTACAAACATTAACCAAATTTTAAACAATACTTTATATCCATTGTTTTGGTAAGAATACTTATTTAACTTACCAAATTTTGTAGAATATTATTTACATCCATTTTTTTGTTAAGCATTTTAGGCATTTCTTAATAAGCTCTAATCATACAATATAATACCAGATTTTTTACATTATTTTGCAGCTATTGTTTTGGTAAACTTTTATAATAGTTTTCCCAAAACTATTTTAAGACTTTCACATTTTTAATTCATTTTTGCCCTTGAATCTGTTGATAATTGATATTTAAAAGTCATTGGTTATAAAATTTGCTTTGCAAATCATTAAAGTTTTCATACTGAAATGCATAGGTAACCATTATATAGTGTGAAATATGTTAGATAAAATGTTTTAAATAAATTGTTTGCAGACCAAAACGAGTGTGCGAAAGACCACCGTGCTGGATGTGATGCGTCGTTTGCTGCAGTCCAAGAACATGATGGTGTCCGCGACGGCGGACAAACAAAGCCGACACTGTTTCATCTCCATCCTGAACATCATCCAGGGCGAAGTGGATCCCTCGCAGGTGCACAAGTCGCTGCAGCGCATCCGGGAGCGGAAGCTGGCCAACTTCATACCCTGGGGTCCGGCCAGCATCCAGGTGGCCCTGCCGCGTAGCTCCCCGTATGTGCAGTCGGCCCACAAGGTCTCCGGACTGATGCTGGCCAACCACACCGGGATCAGTGGGCTCTTCAAGCGGGCCCTGGCCCAGTACGACAAGCTGAAGAAGCGGAACGCCTTCCTGGACAACTTCCGGCGCGAGTCCATGTTCCGGGACGATCTCACCGAACTGGACCTGGCCCGGGAAACGGTCGACTGCCTGGTGCAGGAATACGAGGCGGCCACCCAGATGGACTATCCCCAGTGGAGTCCTGGCATCGAAGCATCCAAGGCCGGTTGATTTCCGATATGCTTACTCGAAAATATAATAATTATTTATCTCATCAACATATGTACTGAGTTTTTGTATTTAAAACGAAATTTTAAGGGAGATCTTGGGTATTGGAATTAACCTTTATTTAAAACTTGCCACACTAACACATTAATTAACAGGTCAGCAAGGATTTTCCTATTTCTGACTTACAATTTGTGTTTTAAATAATGTAGGCCTTGAATTTCGTTGTCATTTTACACCTTGTTTTACACAAAGCTAAATAAATTCGTCATTCGTTTTTTTAAATTCATTGTGTTAACACCTTAGAAAATTGTTTTTGTCCAACATTTTTTAGTACTTATTTTGTTGGTTGATCCTGTTTCTGTAATTAAGCCGAGTGTAAGTTCAAATGTAATTTTAGAATAACGAAATGTATATGTTTTTTTTTGTGTAGCCAACATAAGCTTTTTTAGAAGGAAACAAGGATACGCTGAGGTCTTTGCCAAAAGCTAATTAACTAAATAGTAAGTTTAGGAAGTGTATTATAAATGCTTTTTAACAACTTTTGATCAAATTACCAGATCATGTGCTGTGGACCCTGTGGACCTCGATGCTGCGATCCCTGCGGAGGATGCTACAACTGCTGCGTTGAACTCTGCTGCGTGCCCTGCACTCCAGCCTACATTCAATGCACCTTTATGCCCTGCGGACCCCGGGGTTGTTGCTAGGATATGGATTTCCAAAGGAAAGCAATCAAGATTTAGAGCAAAATCCATCAGCAGTACTATCTTTCACACAAATCTGTAATCTGCACACCAACATGAATGAATAAACGAATTTATTTGCCAGTATATTCAGTTTTGTTACCATTTTAATTTCACATTTAAAGGGCGTTTATTTTTAATTAAGTCACTTGGATGAGTGTTCATTTAGCGGATAATCAATTTTACTATTTAATGATACAAAATTGTATATTTTTGTATTTAAGTAGGTTTTCTTTATTATTTTAGAATTTGCTTGAACTATTTTATGTGTTTGTTGTTGGCTCTTCATAGGTACTTCCATGGCAAGTAAAATGAATATATAATTATAGAGCATACCATAAGTTACGATGACGTTATCGGCAGCCAAAGATTGATAAAAAAAAAATTCCTTTTCTCGAGTGCTAAAAGATTTCAATGTCTTATGACGTTTTCAATCATATATTTTGTTATCCATCTAGTAGTCTCTAAATTTTGATATCAGGAGTTGCCAAATGTTGACAGGGAATATAATCACTCTGTCTCTGAACACCGCTATTAATTTTATCCTGATATTTTAGGTGATCTTTTTTACCTACCTAAATCTATCCACCCGCTGCAATCAACGGCTCCAAGATGTGCTGCAATCCCGGAGGCTGCTGCAACCTGCCCACCTGCATCCAGTGCACCAACTTCTGCTTCAATTGCTGGACCGGCACTGCCGCGGTGCCATGTTGCCGTCGTAGCTGCATTCCGGGATGCTGTGGCAGTCCTCGTTGCTGTTGATTAACATTAACATCTGCCGTCCACACAAATTTCAAATAAAAATCCACCTGCCTCGGTCTTATCAGTAAATAAAAGAACAATTTTTATGTAGCACTCAAAAAAAAAACTGAAAGTTTAGTTTCTAAAAGTGTGTCTTATAAATAATCTACAGACAGTATTAAAGTAAAGAAATCAATTCAATACAAAATAATATAACCTCTATAGTTTTAAATTTGTGTAATTTTTTTACCGAAAAATCTAAAACTGTAGTCTATGTTCTTTTTTTTAGCCACAAAAGGCTGTTACACGCTTTTTTTCTCTGATTTTTGTATCATTTTTTTATGAGCATCCATATTTTTGCCAGCAATTATAAGCGAATGGTCTTTTTTTTTTGTATATTTACAGTTATTTTTAATCCTTTGCTCCGCGCAGGGGTTAAATAAAAATACCGTTTAGTATTTGCCGCTGCCAAACGTTGGCAAATGAAAGCTGGTCACACCACACCAAACAAATACTCTAATCGCTGGAATAAAAGTAAACAATTGAGGTTTCTGGACGAAAAGGCGGCCAAAAAGGCGACTGCATTCGGTTGCCAAGATGACGGAATGCCACTGGCTCAACTGGTGTCGACTGTGTGCCAAGGACGACGCCCGTGGCAACGTGAAGGTGCAAATGAGCGGCAATGATCAGGCCTGGGACAACGTCCTGATAATGGCCATTCGCAAGTACTTTGAAGTCGAAGTAAGTCGGCCCGACATAAGCCATATTTATAGTTATAGCGATAACGATCTATACCCCGACCCGCAGATGCGACTGGAGGATGAGCTGAGCAGCGTGCTGTGCACCGAGTGCTATACCCTGATCAGTGAACTAATCGATTTTGCGGAGCATGTTACCAAGGTTCAGGCCATTTTCGAGGTCCTGCGACGCACGGCAACGGAGCCCGGCAAGCACCTGGATGTGGCTGCACTGCGCCAGCAGTACGGCCTCTGCGAGGACGACTGGACGCACATCATCAAGCCCATGCAGTCGGCCGAAAACGAATCGGAGATCCAGCAAAAGCCAGATAGTGTGTTACAAGAATCTCCCATCGGTGTGGAAGCCGCCGGCACAGAACTCGAAATGCGGGTATCCCAACCGTACCTAGTCCAAGCCAAAAACAGTCTGCAAATTGGAATACCACCAAAGCAGGAATTTATTGACATAGGTCCCATTTTGTCAGAGAAATCCAAAAGTCGTCTAGACACAGACGAAGTGCTAGTTGAGCTGCATGAAGACGAGTTGTCCCAGTGCCGAGTGGACAGCACGGTCTCTGCGGTTTTCCAGGAGCAGGATATCAAGCCCGAATTGTTGGACAGCTGTGACGATGATGCCGAATTCCTGCCCGAAAAGAGTCAGCAAATGCAGCTCGTTATTGTGACGACCCCGCAATATGCTCCAGAGTCAATTGCCGAGGAAAAGGCGAAACGTGGACGCATGAATTGTGAAAAATGTGGCAAGGGCTACAGGAATCGCGCCTCCTACGAGAAGCACTTGGAGCGCGAGTGTCGCCGTGTCGAGCGGCGTGTGAAGGTGGACAAGGCCACAACCACCTGTGATCTGTGCAACAAAACTCTATCCTCCACAACGGCTTTGAAGCTGCACAAAGAGGGCATCCATCAGAATGTCAAGCCATACATATGCGATAGTTGCGGCAAGCAACTGAAGACAATCACAGCCCTAAATGAGCACAAGCTGGTGCACACGGACAGTCGGCCCTTCGAGTGCAGCGTTTGCAAGGCGGGCTTCAAGAATCGGGCTCGCCTGAAGGCCCACCATCAAATCCATGCGGAGCCCAGTTTCGTGTGCAACATCTGCGGCAAGAAGCTGCAGACGCGACGCACCTGGAACATGCACAAGTTGGTACACAGCGAGGAGCGGCGCCTCAAGTGCGATGTCTGCGGGGCGCTCTTCAAGCGCTCGAAAACCCTCAAGACGCACCTGCTCAGCCATACGGGTTTGCGACCGTATGTCTGCAACTACTGCGGGAAGTCCTTCGCCTGCAATGCCAATTGCCGGTCGCACAAGTTGAAGAAGCATCCGCAGGAAGTGCAGCAGGAGGATGGTGCCAAGCTACCATCTCGCTTGAATGTTCCCACGCTGGAAGAGCTGCGCGTTATGTTAGTTCTACTTTAAAACTGCTTTTGTATCTGTTTACTTAAACTTTTTTTTTTTTTGCAGGACCCAAAAACTACCAAAAGGAACCGATTAGGATGATTACTTTAACAAAATATTGTTTTTATATTGTTTAACTAAACACTAAAAAAAATTGCAATATGAAATTAAGCAGAAGATATAGGATGTGGATCATTTCCGGACCTAGAAAGCAAAGATTAAAAACGAAATAAACATAAATTTTGTGTTTCCCAAAAGTATCAGCTTTCCCATTATGACTTTGGTATTTAGTCACTATGCGAACGGCCGTCCACATCGTTTTCAGTAAATCAGTCAGGAAAAACATATAGTATGCAGCTAAGATCTTATCTTAGTTTAACAACTTTTCAAGTTCCTCACAACCTTATCATCATTATGGCACATTTCCAAAGATCTTACCATGTTTTAAAATTAAGGCACCATCAACCTTTGCATTAGTTATTAATTAGATTAAATATGATCCTTACCAGTCATAATTACATTATTTAGTATATAATGTACTGTAAAAAAATCTGTAACAGATATTAAAACGCATTTGAATTATTTAAAAACAAAATAATTTTATTGTGGTTTAATGGAAATAGAAATTCTTACAATACAATTGTTGTTGCTGGTTGTTCTTGTTGGTTGGTTTAATGTTAATGTTACACAACATTTTTTAAATGTTAATTAATACCATATTTTAATATAATAATAATTTCATGTTTTTCATTTTTTAATTACTTCGAAAATTGTGGCCCCTAAGCATTAAAAAGACTTTCATTTGTTTCTATTATTATTTTTCAAGTTCCCGCTGACGCTGTTGACGTTGCTATTGGATTTTTGAGTAGAGTTCAAAATCTGTTATATCAAATTCAAATAGGTGTTCGCGAACTCGCCACCCAGCGAGCTTTTCATTAATTATTATGATTTTTTCATTCTTTTACGTTTTCCACATGTATAAAAATATTTATATATAATTTACTGTAAGTAATTTTGGTTTTCTCTTACACATTACATTAATGAGTTGTTATCTTGTGTTTGCCTTAATTTTGTATATATAAGTATATATATAAAATGCGCATACAGTTGGAATCTTAGTTAATAATAATAGTTAATGAGTTAATAACGTTCACATTCAATTACATCGTATTCGATTTAGTTACGATTATGATTACATTTTAATTTGCTTTGCTTTCTTTTTTTTTTTGCTTGTTCTTGACGAATTCAAATTTAATATAAAAGAAAAACAGTTTGTTGTAATTGAAAATATAAAATGTTCAAGTTAAATGCGTATTTGGTTACGTTTTCTCAAGAAAATTGCCATTGGTTTATTACAATTAATTGTGCTCGTTTTGTGGGTAAGATTGCTTGAGTGTTGAATGACTAATTGAATGGTTGAGTGACTGAATGACTGAATGACTGACTGACTGACTGACTGACTGAGTGAGTATCATGCAGGGTGTCTGAGGAGCTGAGCTGAGCTGATCCTGGCAGTAAGTTGAGTCAGTTACAAAACTTGAACCAAATTGTAATTGTTCTGTACTGTGGTTAAATTACTTTGTATGCATATTAGAAACAGTATATGGCATATAGTATGCATTTGGTGGGCGTGTATATATTTTTTATTTTCCTTTTCATTTCAACGCAAAAAGTTAACAATTTCCTCGTTCGAAACAGCTGAGAATGGCCTGCCTGACAAAGTCTACATGTAATATAGATTTTTATATATATTTATTGAATAAAAATGCCAACCCTCAATGATATACATTATTTGCTTGTCAGTCCATATTTTCCACATTTTCTTGTCCTTTACTTAACATTTTTATTATTTTTTATTTGTATTTGTATTTTAGTGTTAGTTTTTCTTTGTATTTCTTAAATGTAAAACAAAATTTGAGCGAAATATACGAGTTGTAACTGAACGTACAGTGTAAACAATTAACCATAAAGAAAACATATTATTTTAGCAGATAAAATGTTTTATTTTCATATCACTATATTAAATAGTATATGAAAGCCATTTAAGCAACACCCTGTATACAGTATACTCTTGTTTTTTTTTATTTTTAAATTCAACTTGGCTTTAGCAGAGAAATTCAAATTGCGGGAGACATTAAAATCAATTAAATCGTTAGCTAAAACATAATATATATGTGTATATAAAGAAAACTTAATTATAACGACATTTAACATTAGATTGGTGTTCTTTTTCGGTTTCGTTTTTGTTTTTTTTTTGTTTTTTAATGTTAATTAATATAAAAATACATATATGTATGCATGATGACTAGATGATGATTCCATGATCGGCTTAGTTGCACTATATAGCTTTATAAATACTAAAATCTATATCGAATGCGTGATTATGAGTAAGATGAGCTAACATTTATGCATATTTCAATGATTTAGCAACGTTGATTCTTGTCTGTGTGTATTTTTTTTTTTTTTTTTTGTGTGTGTGTGCGGTTCGACCGTAGAGACTCATTTCCACTAATTGCAAATATATTAATATTTATATAATTTTTTGAGTCCCAAAATTGATTTAAAATAATTGCGTAACGTAAACTTGTCCATGCATTGCCATCGAAATGAATGCGATCCATTCATTAGTTACGTCTTCCTTTCTCCAATAACAAATTTAACATAACACAATTTAATGGGGAATGTTTGGTTATTAAAAATATTTTTCTTTTGTTTTTCGTTTTCAAATGAAATGTTGCTGTATTCTGTCTGCCAAGTAGCTCTTGTTGTTGTCATTGATGTTGCTGTGCAATTTGTGCAATACTGTAAGAAATAAAATTAAAAATTAAATAAATAAAATGGGTTTTCGTACAAAATAAAGATATAAAAATCTTCAATCCTTTTTTTTTTTTTGTTGCTTTCGATAGAAAACTACTTTTTAAAACGATATTCTTTAAAAATTATGGAACAAAACAATAAACTTCCTATTTAGTTATTGCATTATACATTGCCCATTTGGTTCTCATTTAAAGTTAGATTAACTTTTGCCTTAAAAGGTTTGACTTAAAAAATTCCTTTTTTTTAGTTTTTACTTTTTTTTGTTGTATTTTTAGTGTTAGTTTTCAATATGTTGCTTTTGCTTTAAAAATTACAAAAATGCTTGGGATATGAATGTGTTTTTTTTTTTTTAGTTTTAATTTTTTGGTAATCTTCAATAGGAAGAATAAGCAGCTAACAACAAACAGTTAATATGCCTTATATTTTGTATATGCATTATAATTATTGATTATATTTATGGATGTATATAAATATTTTATTTTGCAGCTAGAAAAATTAGCGAAAATATTTATTTTCCATGTTCTTGTTGTTTGTCTTGCGCGTTTAGAGTTTTTAGTTCATTAAAGAGTGAAAAATCAGTTTTCAGCTTAAAGTCAGTTTAGTTATAATTTCTCAGTTTAAACAAGTGCAGAGGGAGAATAAAAGCGGAAACGGAAAAATCTGTTCAGAAAAATTCCCTAAACGAGTCTTATATTCATTTTATTTCACAAGAGCTTTTTTATATATTTTTGTTTAGTTTCACGTTTACGTTTTCGAAGCAGTCTAAGATTTTGTTGTTTTTGAGTGTTAAAAAACTGTTGAGTTCACTACTAAGTGGTTGGATTTTTGCCTTTAAACACGCACATAAATATATTTTTATATATTCGTAGATATATAAGTATGTAGTGGTAAATAGCCTAGTGTGTAAAATGTATTACAGATGGAGAGGTCCAGGACTTTATCCAGGGCTTCAACTTCAACTTGATTTATTTTTATATAGTAGCAACATTATAAATATAAATATTCATATATATGTATGTATATGTGTATAATTTGTTGTGTAAATCTTTTTTTCAATTCGTGTATAAAATCAGTCATAGTTAATTATTTTGTTTGGTATTTTATCATTTATGTTAGTTGTGGTTTGGATTGCTACTTGAATGTTCGGTGAAGTTCGTAACCAAGCGTTAAAAATGTCAATATAAATTATTAATCGAATGAATTGATCTTGTTCCTCAATTTCTAATCTATTTAACCTTACTCCTAATGAGAAATTAGGGAAATCAAAAGGGATATGAACCGATCGTTTGACACTAATTCTATGTTGAGTTACATACAAATTACAGACATTCAAACAGACACTACTCAAGCATGCATATTAAATATATTTTGTTGTTCTCATATTTTCGTATTATTCATTTTAAAACATTTGACGGACTATAAGAATTAAAAACCTACTTATTGAAAAGATCCCGGCCCCGAATGCAAAACCATTTCGAATCGGTTAGAAAGATTAACCCTGATCTGAGATCGTTTTACATTGGATTCTGGACGAAACATAGACACACACACTTATTGATTATTCAGTTAGCTGCATATATCTATATGTTATATCCATAATAATTTAGTGGTTCAAGCATTTGGTTCAGAGCTTTCTTTATGCATAATCTAATAATACTTAAAAACACTTCTACGAAGCCAGTTTGAATTTTAATTTACTTTTTGGATTTGGTTTACATTCATTATAGTTCGCTGCTATTTTGCCATTCCTCTACACCTTTTCGAATTCGAACTGCCGCCGATCTACTAGAACTTGTACAAAATTTAAATTCCATACAAATATGCTCAACAATGCCGACAAATGACTTTGATTTACGTTTTTGTTCCGTTCCTTAATAACATTTATCAAAAATATAAACTACAATTAAAATGATTCTTTGAGATATGACACACAAACACCAATATGTTTGTATTTATATATCCTAACCTCTAGTTCTGTTCTGTTCTGTTTGGTTTTTTATAACTTGTGCCTGACAGTCTCTTGACCAACCCCAAAAAGAGAGAGACCGACCCGTAGATGGATCGATCTCGATTCGATTTCGCTTCGATTCCGATTCCGATTCCTTTCAACATTCATAGAGAGCTCCTAACAATCACAAAAAATAATAGTAGCAATAATATGATTAATATATATATATATGTTTATGTGGTGCCTCTTTCGACACCAGCATGCATTGCCATTTATCAAACAACACTTACACTTAGCACTACTCAAATGTTTTTTGACTTCCTAAATGGTTTACTTTTACCTTTTCGCGACTGGTGGAGTTACTTTACTTTTGAATTTCCTTTCAGAATTTTCCTTACATTTTTTGGCGTCTTTTATTTTCTGGGTTACTTGAGACTTTGGCCCAAAAAAAAACTAATCACAAATGGCGACACACGCAAAATGCCCAACTAC